ACCGTCATGTACCCAAGAGGCCTACCGCCAGACTGGCAATTATGTTCGGCCAGATGTTCAGCTTCTGCCAAAGCCGCAATTTACAACGTTCTTACATTCACTAAACACACACACAAAATCAAATACTTTTGTACACTTTATATCTAATGTACTGCATTTAATTTCTGGATGTTATACTTTTATTTACATTATTTGTGTTTACATGTAGCACCATAGAGGCCCAACGTATGCCGTATTTCAACATACTGTGTACTAGTTCATAGGTGCGTTAGCAATGAAGCACTGGGATTCATACCCGTAACCTTCTGAACACTGACACAGAATCGTAAATTGCTGAGCCACACAGCATCTCCAGACATAGGCTGTTCAAATAGCAGGAACCTAACCTCCTAGATCACAATCAAGCAATACGAAATATATTAAAATCACCCCCAAACACTGTAACTGGGCAAAATTTGAACATCAGCCCCTCCGTAACCTGCACAGCAAAAACATTTTTTAAATCCAAAAAAATCCCTACATACGAGATTTACGTCCATTCACCAGTAATCAGCCCACAGTGCAGGGGTGGAGAGTGTGGGCCCAGAAAATACAGATCCAGACCAAGGTTTTATTTCAACCAACCAGATGAGTACTCTGTGACTGTGACTCTTTATACTCACCTGGTTGGTTGAAACAAAACCTTGGTCTGGATCTGTACTTTCTGGACCCAAATTTTTTACCTCTGGATTTCAGTAAAGAGAATATCACCACCACAAACAGAAGAGGGCTTGGCTGGAGTGACAACAGGAAACAGAAAGTAAATAGCTCACCGAATGAAGCAAAATGCCTGGAATGTATTCCACATCTATGTGGAAACACCAAATGCCCAACAGGGAAACATTACACAAGAATATCAGAGAGAACAATTCCTCAGCTACCAGCACTGGCATTCCACAGAGACATGCTACTCCCATAATGACAGGATTATCACTGTGAGCTACGGACATTCACATTATATTATTAAGCAGAAGCCTTTATCTAAAGCGGCACACAACTAAAAAAGCAGGGCCAGACTGTGCCTGGAACAGCTGGGGGTTTAGGACTCTGCTTAAGAGCCCAACAATGCAATCATTCTGCAGTCCCTGGGATTTGAACCCACAACCTTCTGATCATGGGCACAGTTTCCACACACCGCTCCACACAGAGACAGGAAGATACAACCTGTTGGTGACAGAGCTATGTTATGCTCCAAGCAGAGGCCAGACTCACATCAATAAAGTAAATAAAACCAGTTATCCAGCTACATAGACGTGTAACCAGACATACCTGCAGAAAACCAAATCTAGTTATTAATTCATTACCAGACATTCACTATTTTTTTGTAATTTATATAAAAAAAAAAATACTACAGCATCACAACATTTCACTATACAGTAGAGGTACAATGTGTTCAGGTGTTTAAGGAAACAGAAAGTGAATCATTACCCAAAAGCTATGTACATTTACACAAAAATGTATTCTAATCATCAGTTAAGAGCAACTACAGATTTTTTTAAATCATGACACTAATAATTAGTAATTATATAAACAAATTTTAAAGGCCGCCCGATTCTGCTGTGACTGGTCAGCAGCCCATTGTAAAGTCAGCATTTGGATCTATTCAATCAAAGCAAGGATTCATCCCGCTGTGTAGGAACGAGCCGTCATGCGAGACAGACTTGCCGCGTCAGTCATTTCACATCCCTGCATTTCTCACCCCCCATAAAAAAACAATCCAGCAAGCTAAGTGTGCAGTTCATTGTGGCAGAATGTTACTGCAAAATATGGCAGATTTCAGGTGAGATTAAAGCTTCCTATAATGCCATCAAATCATAGATCAGGAAAAGACTTTATCCCACTTATCACAACCAGTGACAGGCACTCGAAAACAACCAGACATGGCTCCATTTCTCAGTTGGTCAGGAGGAAACCAGCCTTAAAACTGCTAAATCCCTGGTCAAACTGCGAACAAATGAGATGCAGCTAAGGTCTGGGTAACTTTGTTTGGAAAAAGCAAGAGAGCAGAAGTGCAGCAGACCGCTGGGGTTGATATGAAGGTCAACTCCTAGTGCAGGGCTCTTCAAAACTGGCCCTTGATTCCAAATCCAGCCCGTGTTTTAAGATCTCCCAGGTAGTTAGTTTAATAATTACTGATTCTGATTGGCAAGAGGCTTCATAACTGGTTCCCACGTAAAAGAAGGCTGGAAAATCAGCAGTGAATAGCCCTGTCCTGGGGCGAACTAAAGCACCCGGGTCCCAGCCAGGCGACACAGGCAAATACTCAAGGCGCTTTTCTGAAACAGCTTTTAGGCATTGCTCAGCTTTAAGTAAATGAAAGCAACTGGAAACACCCTTTGAAATCAGATCCTGTCACTTTTTGGCTAGAAGGTGCTTGACTATCTGGCAATATTACTATAGTTGCCTCCAGAATAACCAACAGCATTCGGCTTGCATGCCTGGTGCTTAGCCAGATAACATGATACCAGAGTATGGTGGATGCAATACTGTCTCAGGCAGTCGTTTTAAACTAGCTAGTGGGACCAGACCAGTAGCTCATTGATGCGTTTCTACAGACACCACATAACTTAAATCAGGCGTTGCGATAGCTGATAGCTTCACTGACATTTTAAATGTAGACAGGATCGTTTACGTCGTATTGAGCTGATTAGATGAAGGCAAGTAATATTATCCATACATTATAATGGGTTCTGCTAACAAACTTGTACAACAAACTGGAATAGTGCAGGATGTTGACCCTGGTGCTAGATAAAGCCAATCCTATGATATCGTCATGTCTCATCCAATCATGGGTTGTTATGCACATCAGAATAGAATAATTTTTATAATAATTAATGAGGCGCTTATGGAAATTTAGCAAACAGTTACACAATTTGACCGCAATAACCACTTAAACGAGCGAAGCACCATTCATTTGCCGGGGCTAGCTATTGTTACATGTAGTTAGACTAGCGAAGTATGTATGGGTGGGGAAGAAAAAGAAACTGCTCCGGATTGCGCAGTTGTTAGTAAAGATATGCAATGTCGCCAGCAACACGTGCTTTCATCCCCAGCTAAAAATACCAGCCATCACCAGTCTGCTGGGTTCAGTGTATGAGCACTGGTACGAGCCAGTGGGGCCCAAAGTAAAGTCCCTCTTTGCAACATAGGCGTGTCGAAGGACTTCTGGCCAACCGCAACCTGTCAAGAAACACTCAGCCCGTTATTCTGTAAAACGTGCCAACAATGGGCTATAAGTACTTATATCTATATATATGTGCACATGCATTTCTTTTAGAAATAAAACCTTCAGTCTCGTTTGAAATAGCAACTTACCCAGAGCCCACAACAGCAGCCGCCGTTACCCAGTTATGGCGAAGACCGAGCGCGGCCGAAGCCGATCCGCCTCTCCGAATGTGAGCGGATGACGCCCGCGCTGCATTCTGGGAATTGAAGTTTTTTATTTAAAAATCCGCACCGGACGCACTGTAAGGTTCGTATTACAATGCATTTATATGCACTGCATGAACAAAAGTATTGGAACACACCTCTTAATCATTGAATTCAGGTGTTTCATTCAGATCCATGGCC